AGCGGTCATGCGTCGCACCTCTTAGACTTACTTACAGAGATTCAGGATGTGGTGGAAGATTTGCCTTTGGAAGGCTCCAAGCTCTTTGCATACTCCACAGATGCAGCTCTCCACACATTTACGGACTCAAGATCCACCTTAAAAACCTTGGGGATCTACATTCCTGCAACCAAGAGAAAACAAGACACACGATGAAGCCTGGAATCAATCAGTGATTCCATAATACTCCAGATACACAATCCCACAAATGTTACGATCATAGGCACAAACAGCACCAGACCAGGTGCAATCATCTAGTTCATAACCATCAACACATCCGGACAAATATTTTGAAGAGTTGGTCAAGGGACATATAGCCCCAAATTCTCCACTGCATCTTACCATCGCTTCTACCCCACTTGGAGACTACCTAGCTTTCTTCTATATGGTCTGGAACAGCATCACAACAGACAAATAGGTGTTGGAAATTGTGCAAAGAGGTACCTCATTTCTCCCTACTCGTCCCTCTTCAGGAATCCATCTCACAAACTGCCCTTATGCAGGAACTAAATCACATGCACTTAAGGGCAATGGACACGTATTACAACAACTGAGTTTTAATTACAGTACTTCCTCGTGGCCAAGAAAATGGGAGTGGAGACCCATCCAGGACTTACGCAAAATGAACAGATTCATTCACACACAGCATTTCAAGATGGTTACGCTGGCCACCATAATCCCTGAACTGGAGAAGGGAGATTGGCTATTGACCTTCAAACTCAAGATGTGTATTTTCATATCGCTGTACATCCCTCACACAGACTATACCTCCAATTTATAGTCAGCAACTACCATTTCCAGTACAGTGTTCGTTCTTTTGTCTGTCCCCTGGATCCTTTCCAAGATCCTTGCAGTCATGGTGGTGCATGTACACAAGTTGGGAATACTTATATTCTCCTACTCGGATGACTGCCTTCAAAAAAGACCATCAGACTGCACGAGCAGTTACCTTTACTGTGAATCTCGTCACCAATCTCAGCCTACAACTCAGCCTTTAAAAGTGCACACGGACACTGACCCAACAGCTCAACTATATTGGAGCTCATTTTGAGGGCACTAGGACCATGGCTCACTTCCTCATCAAAGGTTCTTTGAACTCCCAAACCTTGTTTCAGTGGCACAAAACAGCCCACAAGCAACTGTCAAACTGCCTGTAGTTACTCAGTCACATGGCAGCAGCTATGTTCATAGTCTGTCACACTCAACTTCACATGAGACCCTTACAGCCTGGCTAAGATCACTATACAGACCTCATTATCACCATATCAATAAACTGCTCGCTAGCCTAACCGAAATCATATTATCTCTGTGGTGGGGGACAGTTGGGACTGATGTCTACAGCCGAGTCACTATCCAATGCAACTTGCCAACCATAATGATCACTATGGATGCTTCTCTCATTGCTAGAGGGCCCATGTGGATTAGCATACCGTTGGGGTGCACTGGTCTCTTAAAGAGTCCAAACTTCATATAAATCTCCTTGATCTCTAGGCTGTCTGCAATACATATCATCACTTTCTCCCTCTCACCCACAACAAAATGGTTCAGATCTTTACACACAATCTTACAACAGTGTCTTACATCAACTCTCCGGGCAGAGCCTTCTATTACCCATTACGCACAGAAGCAGCACAACACTGGGATTGGTGCATTCCCTGCAGCATAGACTTTATAGCAACCTACTTGCCAGGCACAGACAACACAGCAGACATTCTCAGCCAGCACTTGTCCTAAACTCACGAATGGGAAATCTGCACCAAGCTGCTTACCCCACTATTTAGGCACTGGAGTATCGCACAATAGATCATTTTGTGACTAAATGCCCTCAGTACTGCTCCTGCACAGGTCTTCATCCCTGTTCTTTAGGGGATGTTTTCATCTTCAAACAGGATGCACCTCTGCTCTACACCTTCCTACCTGTACCACTTCTTTACTGGACACTTCTGAAAGTTAAGCAGGACATGGCGAAAGCCATCCTGGTGGCTCCAAATTGTCCCATACAAACTGGCTTCCTCTACCTACACAAGTGACGACGTTTCTCTATATGGTGTCATGCCCACCATACTTCACCCGCGACTGCTTTGCTTCCTGTGATACTGGATTATCTATTCTCCCTAAAAGATATAGGCCTTTCCCATTGCTCCTTAAAGGTGCACCTTGCTGCAATAACCACCTTCCATACTACTATTTCTCTATTTTTGCTTATCCCAACACCAGATGCTTTATTAAGGGAATACAAAATACATATTCCCCACCAAGTCTCCAGCACCGCCATGGGATCTCAACCTAGTGCTATGGGCACTCATGGGCAGGTCATTCAGACCTTTGGCCACTTGCTTGCTACTACATTTATCAATGAAAGTAGCTTTCTTTGTGGAAGTCACTTCAGCCAACATGGGTAGGGGAGTTGGCCCCCCCCCCCCCCACCACACACACATGCAACTTTTTACAAAGACAAAGTAGTCCTTCAACCACCTCCAAAATTCCTTACTATGGTACCTTCTTCCATCCACTGCAACAAGCCAACATACGTATCTGTTGTTTTCCCAAAACCACATGGCATCAGCAGAGAGGTAGTTCTATGTAAGCTTGACTTACGCAGAGCACTTGAATTCTATATAGACAGGACTAAAATGTTCCACAAGTCTTTTAGACTTAGTTTATTCCACAGACAGGTCACGGGGCCAGACTATCTCTAAAAGCAATGGCTGTTCAAGTGGATTTTGGAGTGCATCCAACTCTGTTACCATAACAGTAACCAGCAACCTCTTAGTCCCGCACATATACTCCACCAGAGCATTAGCTACATCAACAGCCTTTCTGAAAAAAGTCCCCCTAAGTGACATATGCAAAACATCTATCTGGGCTTTGGTCCACACTTTCACCAAGCATTACGTATTCGAGAAACATTCAACCTCTGATGCACATTTTTAACACTGCGTTGTTTGCTATTCACTCCTAAACCCCTACGTCCCTTTCTCTGGTAACAGTCACTGCTCATTAGTCACCTAAAATGGAGCACCCTTGAAGAGAAGGTTACTGCCCTGTGCAGTATCTGAGGTCTTTGAGATTGTTGTCCCTATGTGTGCTCCATTACCTACTCTTCTCCCCTCTGCCTCAGAGCATTCTTTGGTCCTCTGCAGCAGAGAAGGCACTGAGGGAACAGTTGGCTGTGCATGTGAGATAGTGGCTCTAAACAGCGCATGCTGACTGTCCCGCATGCACAACCTACCAAGAGTATTGCTACCACAAATCTCTGATGAAGTGCAGGGATGCACAGACCTCTAAAGTGGAGCACCCACAGAGACAGTCATCGCCAAGAATCTGTTTCTGCACAGGTGAGTAACCTCTTACTGACTCTTCAGTAGAAAGTACTGAAACGATATCAGTGGTTGTTGTGTAGACATCCCAAGAGTGTATTCATATAGTGAATCCTCCTCATTGATCCACAGTTAGAGAGAAATTAGGAAGTTGAGTCGATCGATCACTGTGAGATAATCTGCTATTTCTAGGTTGCTCTGTATATTTTGCACCCACACTGTACTTTCTGAGATGCCTTTTAGCCATAATGGCCAAGCCCATGTGTAATGCATGCCTGCTACCTTCAGATTAGTACTTTGTCATTGGTGTAGCCTGTGACTTTTTTTCTCCTGGGAGAAAGTGCTGTCTAGTTAATGTTCTTGCCAGATACTGCCACATGTACTCTGGGTCACAAGGTGAATGAACAAATGTTAGTTCAGAAATTATGTCACTGCACACATCAGCTTTAAGTTGGTATCCTCTCACTAGACTATTTTTATTTAATTTTTAATTAGTATTTCCTTTTATCTAGTATGAGACATAATATTTAAGACTTAAATTGCATTCTGATTGATAAATCATTTCCCCGGTGTCAAAAATTTCAAACAAAGCTTTGATTTAAGGCAGGCATGTCAAACTCAAAGCCTACTGAGTGATGCATAAATTGATAGCTTTCAGGGCCACCAAAGAAAATGTACTTTATTACAAAGTCATAATTACTTATTATTATAGATTATGTTTTACGTATATTTTTTCAGATCTTGTTTTAATATAATACAATAATTTGATGTGTAAAATTGTTGTTTGCTCATATAAAATAATTTTTAATTTAAATATAAATATAAGGTACTTTTTTATATGATACATAACTTGTTTGTTGAAATAATAAAAGCAAGTATAGACCATGGTTAATCAGATAGAACAGGCTTCTGTGAAAATTTCAGATACTTTGTAAGTTTGAGATTTTGCATAAACATATAATTTTTTGTAATTGCTTGAATAAATATATATTTATTGATATAAAATGAATATACATTTTGTGATTTTTATTTGGGAATAAATAAATAAACCAAAATATTAACAAAATAACCCTTCTCTCTTCCCCACAGCCAGGCACTCCCATACCCCCATTTTATCCCAATCTCCCTCCAATCCCCTAGAGCCAGCAAAATATTAACAAAATAAACCTTCTCTCTCCCCCGGAGCCAGGCACTCCCATATCCCCCGTTCTAACCCAGTCTCCCTCCGCTCCCCCAGAGCTAGGCACCCCGAACCTAATGCCTCACCCTTCACAGGCCCTCCCAGCCCCCCCAACCTAATACCTGGATCCTGGAGTTGCCATTGCCGCCGCCACACATTTCTTCCTTAGGGGCGGCATTAGCATAGTGGCCAGCTGTGAGCATGTGCTGGGTGCAGTGCCCAGAGCAGCCCCAGCCGTGAGCAGTTGCTGCGGCACAGAGCAGCCTGGCTGGCTGTGATCTGCACTCTGCCATGTGCTCCAAGCGGCAGCGGGCCACCCTTTATTCCTTTATAAAAATGTAGTGGCGGTCTGCAAAAAATTTTGATCGGGCTGCATGCGGCCCGCCAAACACTGCTTTGACATGCCTGATTTAAGGTATGGCTTCTGTGTTTGAGAGAGTGTTTTTCATATTATCAGTGCTTCCCAGTGTGAACTTCAAATAGCAGGTGTCTGTCTTTCAAAACTGAATACTTTCTACCTCTTTATACTTCTAAAAAATACCTATGTAATATTTTTCTAGGATAGAATATAGATGAAAAATTCTCATTGGATATCCATTTGTACAATGATCATGGTTCTTAGTTTAGTAGACCACAGAAATAAAAAAGCATAATTTTAGGTACCACAAAGATTAAAACTGGTCTGGTTAGTTACCTCATAGCAAATCTGCCATCAAAAAAATGTAGCATTTCCTCTTAACTCTGCACACATTCTAACAATGTCTTCCTGATTTAATATGTAGTGTCCTCAGTAAGAAGCTATGTTGGGCCTGAAGCTCACTATGTAAAGAGTACTTCTGCATCTTTTATAATGAAACATAAACCATTAACATTAATTTTATCAGGCGAAAAGATGAAGATTCTTCATGCCCTCTGTGGGAAGCTTCTGACACTTGTCTCTACTCGAGATTTCATAGAGGACTCTGTTGATATATTACGACAGGCAAAACAAGAATTCCGAGAGTTAAAGGCAGAACAACATCGCAAAGAAAGAGAAGCTGCAGCAGCAAGGTAAGACGTGGTGAAACCAGGATTCCTTTGTCAAAAATGTAGCTGCTGGATTTGAAAAAATAACGATTACTGGATTTTTTAAAAAAATGTTTGTTTGTTTGTTTTTGTTTATTTAAATTCCAGCATATTAAGGCCTCAATCGGAATCGAAGCCCCATTGTGCTCTGCATTGTATAAAGATAAATCCCTACCCTTAAATTAGCATTTTCATCCCTGGCTCGTCTTATAAAGAAAAAAGACATAACAAAATTAAATTAGGCACTCTCTTTATATGTTAATTTTCATTTTGTATATTCTCACCCCTGTCTGTAGAATACGTAAGAGGAAAGAAGACAGATTAAAAGAGCAAGAACAAAAGATGAAGGAGAAACAGGAAAAGCTGAAGGAAGAGGAACAAAGGAATCCTGCTGCAGAAGTATCTGTTGGGTAGGATCAATTATTCTAATGTGATAAACACAATTTTGAGCCTGTTTTTAAATGGTTATTTTCAGTATATAGGACTAGAGTTTAAGACCGTGTAAGTCTTTTTTTATTTAAATGGAACTATGTCAGTTTCTATAATCTAACATTAAGGACCTATATAAACTATGGGGAAAATGATAGTATAAAATAACACCATTTTCTTATTAAAATAACAGAAAAGGATTATTTACTTCCTATAAGCAAGTAAAACCATGGTGTCTGATAGAAGCAGTTTGCGAAGTTAACAATTGTATTTGATTTTCTAATTTATTAGCTTGGGTGACTATAGGTCGTCATAGATTTTTAAGTCCAGAAGGGACCATTATGATGATTACTTAGATTTTCTACGTAACAGTGGTGAAAGTGCCTCATCCAGTAATTTCTGCCCATAACTTCTGTTTGTACTATAACATAAATATTTGATTCTTAATCAGCATGCATAGAACTGAGGTTTGTACACTGATAGAACGTGTATTTCCATAAATAAGACACTCACACATGCTGCTGCATGATTATCCCTTTCTTAGGCCCACTAATTGTATCCTTCAAGGTTCTAATCCTGCAAAAAATTATGTATATGCTTAACTTTAGATATGTTCATAGTCCAATGCTACTAAGGAAGTAAAATCACACTTAATTAGTTAACCGGTTAAACATGTAACATTAATTTACTGATTAAACAAAGGCCTGTCTCTGCTGGTTAACCGTAACCAGTAATCATCATCCAGTAAGGGTGATGCTTACTGGTTAATCATTCACATTCCTAATTGCTACTTTTGTGCTGTAAAGTTAAGCATGTTAAGTATTTGCAAAATTGGACTCAGACTGTGCAATAACCACCCTGTAAAAATAAGTGGTTAGTAATGGTATGAATTTGAATAGGGGAAATATATTTTCAGTTTTCAGAGGGAACTGTAAACCATGTAAAATAAAAACTAAAGGCATAGTCCTCAGATGGTGAAAATTCAGTAGAGCTATGCTGATGTATACCACATAGGGATCTGGTTTTAAAACTGTAAATGCCTTTAAATGTTTGGGATGATGTTTACAATATTTAAAGCCCTGGATTAGGCTTTAGTACAATATTTCTGTAGTTATGGTTCAATATTTTGGTTTCTTGTAAATGTTTCCTATATCTCTTTAACCCCAACCCCACACACGCATGTGTATTCCTACACGAGGATGTGAACTTCAATGATATGGAGTCATTTCTGTGGAATAGCCAAGTAGTACTGTATAGTAAAGGGAAAAAAGCATCTAAAAATTCTTCATGGGGCAACTTTTGATAATAAAATACTGATTGTAAAGCACATTCTGCAATGTACTGTATGTTCTTTGCCAGCTTCATTCAGTACTTTTACTATGGACTCTTGGGGTGTGTCTAGACTACAGAGTTTCTGTCGACAGAAGGTGTTATTGCATGTAAACTGTCCTTTGCGTCTACACTACCATGTTGACAAAGCAGCTTGCTTTGTCGACAGAACTGAATGTAGTGTAGACGCTCTTTGTCGACAGAAGTTTTGTCGACAGTATCTGTTGACAAAACTTCTGTAGACAAAAGCCTGTAGTCTAGACGTACCCTTGTTGTACCATTCCTTCAGGGAAGAGGAACGGGAAGACCTTGATACTAGTACAGAGAGCAAAGAAACTGAACGGAAGGAACAAGATTTGGATACAGTGACAGAGGATGAGGAAGAACTGGGACCAAACAAAAAAGGAAGAAGAGGTAAAAATTGTGTACTTGTTTGTATGTATGCATGAACCAACAACTGGGCCAAATTTTTACTTTTCCAGTAAACCTTTAAAAAGCATTAACTTTCATAGTAAATGTAAAGAAAGAAGACCTTGATCATAATGGGTTAATAAATGCATTGAGCTGGCTTGATACCTCATTTAACTTAGTCCTGTGTACTGTAGTTCTTCGGTTCGTCTTTGTCTTCTCTGGTTGCCATCTGGACTCTGTATGTGTGTGTCTGAAAGGCTGGAGATAATAGTCTATGGTATTAGTACTCCACTTGAATGGCTCTACATGAATCTCTAATAGTGGCTAATTCATTTTTGAGGCATTACATCTTTTGTAGACTTTTTTAAGAAACCAATAATTTTTCCTTAGTGCTCTTTAGCTGGTATAAATCATCTTACCTTCTTCCACTGATAGAGATAATTAGCTATGCTTCTTATGCCTAATTATCTCTATCAGTGGAAGAAGGTATGCTTCTTATGAACCAGTAAGGCCTGACACATCCAGGCCCAGCTTTATCCCCAGGCAGACAGCTTTAATCTTCCCCCTAGGACCTTCGGAGGAATTAATCTAGCAGATACTGCAAGTGAAATGCACTGAATCATGCAGCACTGTGGTTTATAGGCAGTCGAGGGGCCTCCAAGGGAAAAGAAGTTGTCTGACTTCTGTTCCTCTTGAATGGACTTTTTCTACTTCCATTCTACTTCCAATGACTTTTCTAAAATCCTTGGTGATTTTGGACCTCATTGATTCATGAAATAGGAATTCTGAGTCGTCTTATCATTCTCAGAGGGGTAGCCGTGTTAGTCTGAATCTGCAAAAGCGACGAGGAGTCCTGTGGCACCTTATAGACTAACTGAAGTTAGTCTATAAGGTGTCACAGGACTCCTCGTCGTCTTATCATTCTGTAGTTCTTTCTATTGGATGTTCAGATACTATAATAATAAGCACAGGTGTTCACAAAAACTGTTTTTAGGTTGTTGTTTTTTTTAACACAAATGTATTAAGCCTTAGAATGCCATTTTTGGCTATAAGGTAGGCAAATATTACTATCCTAATTTTACAAATAGAGGAAACTGAGGATAATAACACAAGAAGTCTATGTAAAAACCAGGAATAAAATGCCTGATTTCCTGTCCTTTGTTTCATAATGAATTTCTTCTTTCCAATTTCAACCTGTTTTGTTGGCAGCATCTTTGATTATTGCTAGCACCATCAAATTCTGGGTGAGATAAATAATAAAGAGCAATAAATAAAATTTGATCAAGGTTCTAGAAGGAGAAATTGCTACAAACAAGCTATTCCTTTCTGCATTCAAGTAGATTTTGTTCTTTTTTGTTCATTGCTACTGACCAGTAGTTATAACCTGATTGTTCCCAACACTTTTGTTAGAAACTGGGAAAATCTAAGCTAATGACAGAGGTTACAAATACAGTGATGTCAGTTTTCTTTCTTACTTTTTAGGTAGGAGGGGGCAAAATGGATTCAAGGACTTTACAAGACAAGATGAGACTTCTTGTGAAAAGAGTGAACCTCTTACTGCTGAGGAGGAAGAAGCTTTAAAACGGGAGCAACAAAAGAAAGAGAAGGAACTTTTAGAAAAGATTCAGAATGCTACAGCTTGCACCAATATCTCTCCCCTGGGTCGTGACCGCATGTATCGCCGCTACTGGATTTTCCCCTCAGTTCCTGGATTGTTTATAGAAGAGGACTATTCTGGTCTCACAGAGGACATGTTATTGCCTCGACCCTGTTCCTTTCAGAATAGCATACAGTCTCACATCATAAATGAACTTCAGGTATCTACTAAAACTGGAGAGTCTTTGAAGTCATCTGAATCTACCTCCAATATTGACCAAGATTCATGTGCCAGTGTTGCTGTAGAGGTGCCAAGACAAGTATATAAGCCAAACCGCTGGTGCTTTTACAATTCTCGGGAACAACTGGATCAACTCTTAGAGGCTCTGAATTCCCGAGGATATAGGGAGAGTGCCTTAAAAGAAACTCTTTTACAAGAGAAAAATAGATTATATGAGCAACTAAACAATTTTCCTGTGGAAAAATTCCATATTCCAGGTAAAGTGCAAATTCTTCCAAATATATATTATCTTAATTTGCTTTCACAGTTGATTTCAGGGTAGTGTAATATAAACTTGTCATTCTTATTCAAATACCCTGCAGAATGATTAAATGATTCTGCCACGTGTTTTAGCAACTGAACTATTGGTTTTCCAGAAAAGAGATTTCTGTGTATTTTTGTGATGGATAATGTATTTTAGGCCTCTCAGTAGAAGGATAGTGGCTTTTGTGTTTTTTTTTTTTTTTTTTTTTTTTTTTTTTTTGGTGTATGTGGTTTTTTTTTAAATGTTGATTCATACATAAATCAGAGGTGCTGTTGTTGGTCTTTGAAGAAGTCATTAGCTCTGCCTACCTGGAAAGAAACAAACTACAACATATATATATATATGTATAGCTAGAAAAAGGCAAGGAAATCTTAAAATGAAAGTTGGATGAATACTAGATCATCCTGAACACTGGTATCTGACATGAACTCACTTTCAATATGCTAATGAGATCTCAATTTTTCTGTTCTGAAAGAAGAGACAAAATGGTCTGCCTTTGGAGACAGAGGATACAAGGAGCGTTGATTAATTACTTTGACTTGTATGGGGCATGGCTTTTCACAGGATGATGATGCTTGATTGTTTTTTCCCAATAATTCGGCACTTTCTATGACATGTGCAGGCTTAATAGGGCAGAAGGTTTGAAACTTTTGTTGGCACATCCTCACTATAAGAGTAGCTTTATTCTGAAGAAATAACATTGCTTTTGTGTGTCAAAATTTGAAAGTTTGCTTGAAACTATTGAACTCTCTCTGTGACAAAAAAAAATGAAACGTCCATATAGATATACTAACAGTAAGACAATTGCATATGTCATTAACATACGTGAAGGCTATGTCTTGTGTATATTTCACATGTATTTTGTGAATTTGTGAAGTTTTTTGCAGGAATCTTTTAACTGAAAAGGAAGTTTTATGATATCTTCAGTGTTTCATTTATGGCAAGTCTACACTACAGTGCTACATCAGTACAGCTGTGATGCTGTAGCACAGTGTTTCTCAGAGTGGTTGGTGACCACTGCTTTAGAGCAATGGAACACACAGTTATGTGACTCGGGAGCCACATTTGCAACCACCATTAATCAAAAGAGCCAGATGAGTACTGTGCCCCCTGCACACTACCACAACAAACACACGCTTACAATAATATTAAACAGGATAGATTGATTTAAATCATGATATAAATCACACAAAAATGTTTGTTTGTTTTTTAAGTTTCCCGATTTAAATCATGATATAAATCACACAAAAATGTTTTTTTTTTTAAGTTTCCTACTGATGCGACACACATTTCTTCAAACAGTGGTGCAAATCTGATTCCTAAAACATGTTAATTTACAACTCCGTACAGCATTTTACAACATTTCGGCTGGTATACTTTGTGTACTTTTTTTTTTTAAAGATAACTTGATTTTTATTAATTTAGGAAATAGTATATAATAATTTTACCTGTGTCAAGCTGCAGTAGCAGCAGTACATTAGGAATGGTGAGAACTAAATCATCCACACAGACACAATATAACGTATTAAACTAAATCTTAAATGTTGTTATAGAAATGTATTACATTTGCAACTGCAGCAGTCTCTTGTGTTGCCCGCTGATAGCGGTCCTTAAATTTTCAAATTTTATAAACTCTTAAAGAAGAGTTTAACAGACAAGCCCAACCATGTTGGCACCCATTTTTCTGCCTGTCCCCCTTCCACTCTTGCTGCTTCTCCCCAGAGGAGCCAGTGCTCTCTGAGCACTGGTTTAAAAGCTGGCTCTCCCTCACCCCACCGGCTTCTCATTCTGCCCCTGCCCCAGAGGCAGGAGTGTGGTAGGACAGGTGGGAGCCAGTTCATGCAGAGAGAGGCAGATTTAAGATGGCACATGCTGCCTTATGTGGAGCCACCTCCCCCTCAGCCTGCCACCCCTCACAGCTGCAGGCTCCTTTGGCCCCGCTGCCAGAACTGCTGCCCCAGCCTCTTTGTTGGCACAGAGGCATGCAACCCTGGCTCCTCAGCTGCGTCACCAGCCCCTTGCTGAGTAGCATGTGGTCCTGGCTGAGCTGCTGTGGTCCCAGTCAAGTTGCTGCGGCAGCACACAGCCCTGATTGGGCTGTTGGCCTGTCCCAGCCCCAGCTCTGCTGCAGCCACTGGACAGGCTTCCCCTGCTGGACTACTGCAGCCTGGCTGTGTCTTAAATGACTACTTAGTTTCAGAGACTTCTGGTTGTTACTTGTTCGTGGTAGGTAAAACATTTTAAGATAGGCATGTGATTTTTTTTTTTTTTTAAGTAAACAAAATCCCTTTAATCTACTTGCTTTGGGGAGGTCTGTATGTTAATCTCCCATTTTTCTTTAGGGATATAGATATTCAATCTGGTTTGGGTTAGATCCTACTATGTTCATATGGAAAATCTTAATACTGAGAGAATATTAGACAGTATTTTAAAAAACAATTCATTTTAGTTAATAATGATTATATTAATTGGAAGTATATTGTCTGGTCAGTTAAGAAATAGGGCGTCCTAACAAAAATGATGTTGGTTATTGCAGACAAACCTCAAAGTGACAACAAACCACCGTCCTCAGGGCGAGGAAGAATAGTGAACGCACATGATACATCTCAAATGTCTGCAGAAAAGCAGCTTGAACTGAGACTTAGAGATTTTCTTTTGGACATTGAAGACCGAATCTATCAAGGAACATTGGGGGCTATTAAGGTATTACATTATAGTCTTTCATGGAAAGTGGTGTTTCTAGTAACCAAACAGTGCTGCTGACTCTTTTGCCTGAACAAGAACTCAGCACCTGGTATTCTTATTTCATTTGAAATTTGAGTTAAATGTGTGCAGTTATTGGCACAAGTAGAAGCGTGCAGGCTCTCATTCATGTTTTGCTGTAGGTTACAGATAGGCAGTCTTGGAGAGCAGCCTTAGAAAATGGGCAGTACGAACTTCTGAATGAGGAAAATAAGGAAAATGGTATCATTAAAGCTGTGAATGAAGATGCTGAAGAAATGGAAACAGATGATCAAGCCAAGTTCATTGTAAAAGACAGGTAAGATCTGTGATTGAAATAGCAAATGTGTTTTCTTTACAGGTCTTGAAATGGTTATTCAGTTTTCTATGTCTTACGGGTGTTTTGTTCAGGTTAAGTTTTTGCATATCACTACCTTGCTAAACTAATTGCCATAGTTTTTGATAAATTCTATGAACCACAATTTTTAATATTGAAAATGTCAGTGGTTTCAAGCAGTGTATTTTTGTCCATGAGCTACTGAACATTGCTCTAGCATGTGCACGAAAGAGTCCATTACTTGGTACACCTAAATCAGGGATGGCCCACCTGTTACAGGCAAAGAGCCAAAATAGTGCTGGATATAGCGCAAAGAGTCAAGAGCCGAGGGGAAAAAAGTTGTTGAGCGCAAAGAAAAAAAGGGGGGGGGAGGCCCCACGGGGAGAGAACACTGCCTCTTTTTAAAAAAAAAAAAACCCACACACTCCAGTTTGGCTTTTTGACCACATCAGGCTCCTGTCAGCCGGAGTCATTTTGCTTCGTTGTGCTGGACGGCTCCAATGCACCTGGTGAGCACAGGGAACCAGGAGTTGTTTCTAGGGGCATAGAGGTGGCTTCGCAAGCCATGGGGACAGCTTCATGAGCTGCACTTTAAGGGAGGGAAGAGCCTCATGCAGCTTGCGAGCCGTGGGTTGGCCACCCCTGGTCTAAATTAAATAGTTCATGTACTATATTGTAAAAAATGTATGCATGCATTTTATATCTTACAATGTAAGAGGGCTGTTGTACATTTCAAAAGCAAAGCGCCACAGGGTCTGCAGGGGACTGTTTGACGCCTTGCTGTGACGTTTCTGGCCACAACTTGTGACTCTATTGCTCTGCAGGTGAACAGGAAAAGCCCTTAGAAAGTTTGAATTTAATTTCCCAGATAGCCATTTTGCAAGCACACCCCAGAGCAGGCAGCACGTGTGGCCATGACTTACACTCATGGAAGTCCCATGACCTCTAGTTCCCAGAGGTGCAAAAGAGCACCTACATGGAGTGTGCAGGAGACCTTGGACCTCATCCAGGCATGGGAAGAGGGTTCCATATTCTTGGAGCTCCGAAACAGCAAAAGAAATGCTGTAACTACACAAAGAGATTGACATGCCTGGTGGAGAAATGATACTTCAGGGACACCAAGCAGTGCCGAAATTAAAATAAGGGAGCTGAGGCAGTCCTATCGCAAAACAAAGGAGGCAAATGGACAGTCTGGAGCATCACTGCAAACATGCTGCTTCTATAACTAGCTGCATGCGATCCTGGCATGACGGTGGAGGAGGGGAAGCTGATGAGCTTCCCAAGCCAGACTGTGGAATCTGCCCAGGACACTCAGGACAGCAGAGTGGAGGACAATGTGGTGATAGAGATAGAAGGAGATGAGGAAAATGGTCAGGAGGTGAGCAGTGAAAGCCAAGAACTTGTCATCACTTTGGAGTCAATCTCCTCCTCCCAGGACATCTCAGTCAAGCACTTGATCCCCAAGGAGGGCACTTCTGGTGAGTTCACAATATTTTTCTTGCTATAAATGGATTAAGGCAGTTGGGTGTGATGTGTGGCATATTCAGTGGCTTCACATCGCTGGGGACCCGGAACAGCTTCTTAATGTGTGGAGATGGAGCGGGAATCCTCCCTGTGTATCTCCATGAAGGAACTCTAGGTTTCTGGGGAGGTTATTCCATCCTCTATGGTAGGATACCTTCCCACGTCTGGCCAGCAGTAAGTGGTCTGGCATCATTGCAGCACAAAGCCCAGCATCAGCTCCTTATTGCTCTGTGTCATTCAAAGAAGACTGATATCTAACATGGCAACCTGGATGAAGATGAGGAATACACTCCTGGAGGAGATGCAAGCAGAGCAGCAGGAGAGGAGAGCATGTAGGAAATTGCAGGCAAGGCAACGGGAACATGTGTTTTTCCTCCCTGGTGGCTTTGATGGAGTGCCTGGTGGCATGCTTGGAGAAAACGCCCCCAAAACCTCTTACCCCATGCAAATTAATTTTCCCTCACCTAGTTCCAGAGCCTCCTCCCCCAAGGTATGGTGGGGGACCTCAAGGGCAGCCTCACACTCAACCTCAGGTCCCACCACAGACTCCTTTTTCTGTCCCTGTTGTGTTCCCTAAATAAAAACACATGGTCTCTGAACAACAGTCTCTTTATTGCTTGTATTGCAGGAGTGTGATGGGGGATTACAGGCAAACACACTGAATTCAGGGGCATCTTGTCTGAGACCAATGTGCGTGACTCTCAGAACTGGCCATTCATAAAATTTCTTTCAAAGTCTCTCGGATTTGTGCTGTCCCATGCTGCGCTCTCCTTATCACTCTGGTGTCTGGCTGCTCAAAATCTCTGACTAGGTGCTCTGCCTCAGCCTGCCAAATAACTTCCTCTTTGCTTTCACAAATATTATGGAGCACACAGCAGGCTGCCTCCACAAAGGGAACGTTGTGTGAAATCTCAACTAGTCAGTAAACTCCTGAACCTTCCCTTTAAATGCTCAAAAGCACATTTAACCAAAATGCCCCAAAGCACATTCTGCACTTGTTGAGCCTGTAGTTGAACTGCTACTTACTGCAGTCCAGGCTGCTCATGTATGGCTTCATGAGCCACAGAAGCAAGGAGTGGGCTGGGTTGCCAAGGATCGCTATTGGTATTTCTACCTCTCTGATTCTAATTTTCCGGTCTGGGAAAAAAGTTCCAGCTTGCATGTTTCTGAATAGGCAGATGTTACTAAAGATCTGTATATCATTCACCTTGCCCGACCATCCTACGTTGATGTTGGTGAAACAGCAATTGTGATCCATCAGCACCTGCTGGAGAAAACATAGAGAAGTACCCCCTTGTGATTTACTTACTCTTTGGAAAGGTGGTTGGATGCCAGGATGGGGATGTGCATTCCATCTATTGCCCCACCTCAGTTAGGGCACCCCATCACGGCAAAGTCCTCCACTATGGTATCCACATTTCCTGGAATCACTACCCTCTATAGTAGAATTCATAGAATACTAGGACTGGAAGGGACCTCGAGAGGTCGAGTCCAGTCCCCTGCTCTCATGGCAGGACCCAGTACTAGACCATCCCTGATAGACATTTATCTAACCTACTCTTAAGTATCTCTAGAGATGGAGATTCCACAATCACCATAAGCAATTTATTCCAGTGTTTAACCACCCTGACAGGAACTTTTCCTAATGTCCAACCTAAACCTCCCTTGCTGCAGTTTAAGCCCATTGCTTCTTGTTCTATCCTCAGAGGCCAGGAAGAACAAGTTTCTTTCTCCTTCTTGTGATACCCTTTTAGATACCTGAAAACTGCTATCATGTCCCCTCTCAATATTCTCTTTTCCAAACTAAACAAGCCCAATTCTTTCAGTCTTCCTTCATAGGTCGTTCTCTAGACCTTTAATCATTCTTGTTGCTCTTCTCGGGACCCTCTCCAATTTCTCCACATCGTTCTTGAAATGTGGCACCCACAACTGGACACAATACTCCAACTGAGGCCTAATCAGCACAGAGTAGAGCGGAAAAATTACTTCTCGTGTCTTACTCACAACACACCTGTTACTGCATCCTAGAATCATGTTGGCTTTTTTGCAGCAGCAGCATCACACTGTTGACTCATATTTAGCTTGTGGTCCACTATAACCCCTAGATCCCTTTCTGCCGTACTCCTTCCTAAACAGTTGTTTCCCAATTGTGTTGGTTGCTTTGACTACTTGCATAACAGTAGCACCCTCCCCAACCCCTGATAGATTTCCCTTCTCCAAGTTGATTCACAGCTGACCGGTAGCTGTCTGGCATTGCAAGCTTCACATGCATACTGTCTCAAAATATTTCACCATTAGGCATCAACATCACAATTGTTTGATGTAAAAGAGGATCCATGCTTGTGCTGCTATGGCATCTGCACAGGTATCCAGGGCCAAAAGGGATGTGAAAAGACTGTTTCCCATTATCTCAAGCAAGGGGGGAAAGCGTAGATGAGTGCATTATGGGGCACTGACAACATGAACCATCCACTGTACAGTTTTGTTCCCAGCATGCACTGGGAACATAATCCAGAATGCAAAGTGATACAGGTACTGTGGGATAGCTACCCCCAGTGCAGCGCTCCAAAGTCAACAGCAGTCTCCCCTAATGGGCACTCACTACTTTGAACTATGTTGAATTCTTGTGCACAGTGGGAACATGGACCTTCGACTTTGCAAAAGCAGGTGACCCAGAAATCAACCTTAATTGATTCAACCTTATCTCATAGTGTAGACATGGCCTTTGATGACTCCTCTACAGAATTATTTTTGTACTTGTACATTAATGGTTTAAGAAACATACCCTTTAATATATATTGTATGTCCTGAAATAACATGGATATTTATAACTTCATTCATTATATTTTATTGAACACCATACTTGTGTACAGATTCATAAAATACTGATCTGAACAGAACAGCTTTGCTCCCTCAGAACAATGTTATCTGTGGACAGCTTCCTGAATCCTGTTTTGAGGGTGGCAGCTATACATCATTGCAATTAGAACACTTTTTTTCCCCTTATTTGTTTATCTTTATAGCAAGTTGCTGAATTAGTACGCAGATTAAATAGGAATCCTATTTTAAAACCAATGTCCAGAATTGTATTTGTTCATCTCCTTTGTGCCTTTAATAGGATGTGGAGATTCTCTACCCTGGAATCCATAATATTGAACTATTCCATTCTTGTTTAATTCTCAAAAAAAAAAAGTTTTAAGTACTGTACTCTCTATTGTCTGCACTCAGTTTCATTCTATTATTGTAATCCATAATATTGACAATGTCCATTAAATATTCTGGTTTGTGCTCCTATAATAAGTCTTGCATATTTAAAATAGAAGCTTAAGGATTCTGAAGTCATGCAATGTAAACCTTTTGGTCATTCCATCCAACTCTGAGCAAATGACATTTTTTTAGGGCCAAAAAGGCTAACTAGAGCAAGATAAAGAAGCATATGGTCTCATTTATTCTTGTTTTCAAACTTCTTGTTATTTTTATTATTATGGTTATTTTTTTGGGGGTAGAGAAACAAAGTAGTAAAGGTACATATGACTGAAAAATATTGTTAGCAGCTTTTGAATATAAAAAACCCAGATATAATAAAGCTTGCTTTGCTCATTTATCAAGAAATAAGATTTTAGTTTATTCTTCATTAGTGATAGTTAATTCTGTAAGAACTGCTCTCTTGCATTCTATTGGAAACTGAGCAACTGACTTGCCTATATTTTTAAAAGAAAAATGAGAAACTGTTCGTTGTGCTTGAAATGTACTCTTATTTCTGAGTGGTGTTAAAATATCTTTCAAGCTTCTATATTTAGCCCGATTACAGAAATCACAATTTGGGGCAAGCCTGTTTTGAAGCTGCAGTATCCACTGTAGACAACAAATTTGGTACCCCTTGAGAGAAAATGTATGCTTTCACTTAAGCAAATTTGTTATGTTGATTCTCCATTTTGCTCTTTTTATCATCTGGGATTACTACAGCTTGCTTTTCTGTTTAAAACTGGCTTTAAAAATGTGAGGGGAAGCTTGCAAGGCAAAAGTCTGTTTAAAACTGGCTTTAAAAATGTGAGGGGAGCTTGCAAGGCAAAAGTGTGTTTTTGAGCAAAAGGCAAGTGGGAAATTTGTTTTTAATTTGCTTTAAGATGACGATGATGATGATACTTCTGTCAAAGGTAGTTTTAAACACATTGGCTATGTCTACACTGCCCCTGTTTTGTGCAAAAAATATGCAAATGAGGCAAAGTGTGGAATATTGCTGTCTCGTTTACATAATGAATTAGGCTCCGTTTTTGCGCAAGCGACTTTTGCGCAAAAAACCTCTGTTGTGCAAGAGCCATTCTTCCTGAAAAAAATGCAGAAGAACGGCTCTTGCGCAAGACGGGGATTTTGCACAAAAAAGAGCCGTGTAAATGTTTGCAGTCATTACTGGTTAAGTGCAGGTGGGTTGTTTTTTGTTTTCCCCTGCCTCTAGGGTTCTCTTTTTGTCAGTCTGAACTTATATGCTTATAACAGATTTGGACTCCTGCTGCCATATAAATTCATAGTGGTATAGCTGACCATGGGAGGGTGGGGGGAGGTTGCAGGTTAACACCTAAAAGTTCTGTGAGATGCTAATTTAGATGCTCTTTGTAGAAACTTAAAGGTTCACTTTTGGCTATCATATCGTTTAGGGGAAAATCTGAGTTTTCTGCAGCGGGGGGTGGAATGGACTTTTCTGAGAATATTACAGTTTAACAGTGAATTTTAATGAGGTAGAATTGCAGATGGTTATACTTGATTCTGACTCAAATCTAGTAAAAGGCCGAATGCTCTTATTATGGAAACAACCTATCGTACCAAATTTAAGACATTTTCATTGTATCTGCTAAGCCCCATCAACATGACATGTATGAGCTTTTCATGAAAATACATGCAGAATGAGTACTGACATGGTCTGTAAGTGACTCTGTACTCCATTTATAATCATTGCAATGTGTAATACTATGTCCCTTGAGACAGAAATGGACTTGGGGGATATTTTTAGGCTTTGTCTCTACTTTCAGTATGACCAGGCTATTTTTGCACATTGTAGCTTTAAAAAAAAAAAAATGAGGGGGAGGAGGGCTATATCTTGGGTATGGGTTTTTGTTGTTAATTTTCTGATTAGATGGGGTTGGGTGGCTATCCTGATATGTAGTATAAATGTAAATATATAGTGACGGTGAGCAATTTTATTTTCACCAGGTGGAATTTTTGAAAGTATCTCAGTGATTTAGTAGTGCAAGTCCCATAATACGTATTTGAAGGCATTTCTGAAATTTCACCCTGGTTTACCATACATGTTCTCATATTTAGTTCTTTCTACATTGCTATACTGCAGTCTTATAATAAATTGTACTATTTATTTTCATTTACATTTTCCTATAACTGTGATTAGTATTTCCCCCCCTCCCCCCAGATTTCAGAGGTAGCCGTATAAGTCTGTTTTCAGCAAAAACAACAAGGAGTTTGATAGCACCTTGATGAAGTGAGCTGAAACTCCAGGAAAGCTTATGCCATACTAAAATTGTTAGTCTTTAAAGTGCCAGCAGACTCCTAGTTCTCTTTTTACACTATTATATAATTCCTGGGATCAAACAATGCAAACAGATCTATAATTTTTTAAAATATTTTCATTGATATTAATTTCTCTTCTCAATGTTGGATATAAAATCCCATAAATCCTATTAACTTTTTAAAATTTTTAGACTTGTTGGATTAAAAACTGAAGCTCCAAGCACTGCATCAACAAACACGAGTACTCCTCAGCCAGTTAATAATGTGGTCCGTTACTTGGCATCTGCACTACTTCAAATAGAACAAGGCACTGAGCGCAGGTTCCTCAAAGCACCACTTGGTAAGCATTTAATCTTGATACCACATCTTCATTCCTGTATTAGACTTCTGAAGAAATGTAAAATTTATTTCATGAAGAGTTTTAAGATTTACCCAAAAAAACCCAGGAACACATAACTAACACTTTTTTCCATGGACATTGTGAAAATAAAAATATTCAAGAAGTGGTTATTGCAAAGCTGTAATTGCTGTAAATCTGTGGGACTTGGGAATGTTCAAGTTCCCCAAATACTTTCTATGTTTTCTGCTCTTGGGCCATGTGTCCTTTAGTGTTCATTCTCTGGAATTTAACCAAAAAACTTGTAAGTATAGAATAGCTTGGATAAGGCACTTCTTGAGACTTGGACCAAATTATGTGCCAGAGTAGCTTTTACTGAAAATACCAAAATCAGTATTCTCCCAAAACAGGTGGATAACACTGTACTTAGGCTTACTAGCTAATCTCGAACTGTACTTTTGATTGCCCGCACTGGTTATCAGGAATATAAGAAATTAAATCACACAATCCCTTTACTGCATTCCAGTTCTCTGGCTTCCAGTCTGCACTGAGACCACACAATGTTCTTCTGGATCAGGTCAAAGGGCCAGCCATGTTGCCAGATCAATATTAGGTTGGATATTTCCCAAAATACCACACCATTAGCCAATCCTATTAGCATCTAAAACTTAAAAGTTTATTATTTAAAAAAAAAAAGACTAAGAAGAAAGTTGTTAAATAATAAAGCACTCAGATACAGATAGACTTCAAAGTCCATATATCAGATTTCTAGCAGTATTGATGAGTTTACTGGTTTGATACTCCCTCTTGGGTACATTCAGTCCTTTGTTCGGAGTTTCAGGTTGTAGAAAAATTATTCCAGAGGTAAGAAGCAGGAGTGAAGACCAAAGAGGGAGATGCAGCTGCCTTTTAAAGTCTTTTTTCATGTTACTTGTACTTCATTTGTCCCACACACAAGCTGCCCAGCATATAGCATGGACAAGCCTCAGAGTTAATGTCCATAGGCATATCTCATACCTTGCTGACTTGTAGGGTATATTCCCTAGTTCCTTTCAGGGCATACATTGTACAGTTGATGATCATTGATGCGTCATTGAGCTGAATGGGATGCTAATGCCATTCTGTCTAAGAGTGTCACTCAGATGCACAGCACCTGTTTTTGAAATACAGATATACCATAGAACTGTAACTTCCCATACAAATGCGATACAAACATAAAAACAAGATTATCATACCTGGCAAATCGCAACATTTTCACAGATACCTTACATAGCATTTGTCAGATTCCTTGCCGTTGTATAATATCAGTACTGTATCTGTAATATTATAAATGGTTTCCCATACAGTATGCACTGTAAAAGTCAAGCATTTTTATTTTCCCTCTCTGATCTGCCTGAAAGTAACTAGGGGAACCCTCTCAACATCCCCTCCTTTTTTATTTTATTTTATTTTATTTGCTGCTTTATCATAGTATTATTTTCTTTCTTCATAGTATCCTTATTGCATGAATTTATTCTCTAAACTTGTTCCTTAGCTTTTTTTTTCTAAAATTTCTAAATACTCAGTTACTGAAATTATTAAGCTAGAATACTTTGTAGTTCTGCAACCTTTATTATTTGTAAGGATTCTTTCCAATGACCAGTATAATTTTGCTAATTGTTTTGGGTCAAACACCTCCATTCTTCTCAAACAAACAAAAAAGTTACAGTAGAATCCCTTAATTTTTGTCTTCCCTTTTGCCATTTCTTCCCCTGTTCTCTTGTTTTCCCTTTTGTTTTGGTTCCTGTTCTCATTAGGAATGGGTCACATCTGAAAACGGTTTTTGGTATTGATTCTATTTCCACCTCTCCTACTTTTCCATCCATAGTGCTTTATGAGTAATGAGAACTTCAGAGTGACATTATGGTCACTGGCAGTTTTACTTAGAGTTGCCAGATGGTTTCAACAAAAATACCGGACACGCTTCACATTACATCACAATCTACATTATGTCTTATTTAGAAAATACCGGACATTTATATTTTCTCATTTATATTTTCTCAATGTTTCCTGAACAGAAAGCTCAGATACTGGACTGTCCCGTTCGAAACCGAACACCTGGCAAACCTAGTTTTACTTGTTGCAGCCCCCAAGTTATACAGTATATGGGAGAAATCTACAGCAGCAATTGAATGACCAGATACTTAGCTCTGTTACATTGTGTTCTATGTTTGTAGAGAGTTTTTAGATCAGTGGTGTGCATTCAACACAAAAATGAAGCAGCAGGGAGCAACTGATAAAGTAACACAATTCAAAGGGGAATTTAGAAAATACAGGATCTGTATGATCTGTTGGAGTACTTGGAAAATTGCTAATTAGTTGCTAATCTTTTAGTTTGGCAGTTAGATTAAATTGTTTTTGAAGCTACACTGTTACGCATTAACTGCTGTGCAGTAGAGGGATTCGTGCAAAAATTTGTTGGTCCATGATATGGACAAAATTAACCCAAGAATACTAAGGAGAAAACCAGCACCAAAAAAGGTGGCGGTCCCTTCTGTCGTACACAGTTGGACTTAAATTATATTAAATTATCTGAAAATGAAAGCTTTTATCTCTTTATCCTGGCAATAGGTCTTTTGATGGAACACGTGGGGTTGTTGGCTTCTTGGATACCTTTTAAAAAGCACTCATAGTTAGAAAGCACTATTAGATTCCCCAGTGCTTTACAAAGGAGGTGAATATCATTCCAATTTTTTAAATGGAAAAACTCCAACACAATGTGGTGAAATGATTTGCTCAGGTTCAGCCCAGGCCAGTGATAGATCCCACAATAGAAATCAGGTCTCATGAATCCCAGTCCAGTGTTGTGTCCACTGTGCCACCCTGTCTCTCACATGACTATAGAAAAACAGGACTATGTTAAAGACTAACAAGATGGCTTAAAAGGTCTTTGAAGCAGGATGCAGGTAATCAGGTCGTTGAGACAAAGTCCTTTGTGGTTGAAATGGCAAGAAACTGTTTTTTATTTGTGATCCTGTCTGATATCTGTTTTGTGGGCATTGATCCTTTGGCGAAGTGTCTGAGACGTCTGTCCAATGTACATAGCAGACGGACACTTTCGGCACATGATAGCATAAATTATATTTCTGGATGCGCAGGAATATGTGTTCTTGATCTTATAACTCACTTGGTTAGGTCCAATAATGGTATCAGCAGAATGAATATGTGGACAAAGCTGGCAACGGGGTTTGTTGCAAGGGAAGGTACCAGGGTTGGTATTAGTGTGGTATGTCCTGTGGTGGTTGGTAAGAATCATCTTGAGGTTAGGTGGTTGTCTATAGGAGACTATGGGTCTGTCTCCCAGAGCCTCTTTGAGTATGGTATCCTGTTCCAATATAGGCTGCAGTTTATTGATAATGTGTTGGACAGGTTTAAGTTGGGGGTTGTAGGTGATGACAAGTGGTGTTCTATTGTTGGTTTTCTTGGGTCTGTCTTGAAGTAGATGGTTTCTAGGTGACTTGATTACCTGCATCCTGCTTCAAAGACCTTTTAAGACTGCACTTGAAAGAGAATCCTCTGAACTGTCATTCATGCTTAAATTCGACACTTTACACCTAAGTTTGAATAAAGACTCTAATTATCTTACCCATTACAAAGATGGCTTTCCCCAATTATCACTTCTAATATCATTAGCTCACAGACATTTACCTTCTCTCCCTTCCCCCCTCCCCGCTTCTGTTCTGAAATTTGATTTCTCCTTTTCATATGTGTTCATTTTTTTTAATTGTATCCTTTGGTATATATGGTTGTGACAATTTTCTTCCACTATTTGATCTGAGGAAGTGGGTCTGGCCCACGAAAGCTCATCACCTAATAAACCATCTTGTTAGTCTTTAAAGTGCTACATAGTCCTGTTTTTTGATTCAGCTACACCAGACTAACATTGCTACATTTCTATCATTATGACTATAGAACTACCTCTCTCATACAGTCTAATCATTATTTTTCTAAATTTGTATATGCAAGGTGTGACTAGTTTTGTGGCTCCCAACTTTTTATTTTTGTTGTTGAGGCCTCTTTATGGTTGGTGGATGGGAGCTTTTACCTCCCCTTAACTCTACACAATACATTTGTCGCAGTTCTATTTTTGTCCTCTTTCTCTATTCCCTCTCTTCTCCAACAGCACTTTTGTCGTATAAAAAATTCCTAGATTTTTTTTTGACACTTCTGATTTTGTTGTTGTTGTTCCCATTCCTTCAACACTCAATATACTGTACTGTTTTATACAGCCCTCCTCATTGTAATATCTGAGCATACCTTCATAGGTCAGGAAGTCACATGACTAGCATCTGTCACATGGTTTGTTCCCCTCCCCACTTCTCAAGGGAGAATTTGGTGTGCAGCCATAGCAGTTTTTGTCTCTCTAAATGTACAGCTTGCTTCTATGTGTGTTAAAATAGGCACGGTCAAAGAAGTATGTTTTGTAGTAGGGATGTAAATGTATACTCGTGTACAGGGTTAACTGATGAGCTTGGGCTTATCAGTTAACTCTCATGATTACAGGTAGCTCCCTATCCCCCCCGCCTCCTGTACTGCTGCATCTGTATTAGAGGCAACAGCGCAGGGGAGAGGCAGGAGCCAGTGCATGTGGTGAGCTAGCTCCTGCGGAGCTGCTGGTCCCCTCCCCTCCCCCCACGCCTACCTGCCTTGCAGGAGCACACAGGTGGGAGCCGGTACACATGGGGAGCTGGCTCCCATGGAGCTGTCTACCACATACTTCCTCCCTCTCCCCCCCTACACTGCTGCCTCCCACAGAGGCACTGTCTCCTGTCTCCACCCCTAACACACACATGTGTAACACATTTACAAAAACACATTTTAATATCCCTGTTTTGTACTTGGAACAGAAGCTTGTGAGGTTTTGTAAGGCTTCAGTCTCAAACTGACCCCTGAAAAAGTTCTGTCTGACAAGCTTTCCCTTTATGGTGTAACAGTCATTTTCAACACTTAATCAAAAAGTTGCTTGAAATAACTTTACAAATTTAACGTTAGGTGATGCAGAAGATAATAAAAGGAACGAAAGGGGGGATAAAAAAAGGAAGAGGGAGGAAGACCAGTCTAGTCAGAAAGATGGTAAATGTTTAAAAGTTCTGTATTTTTAAGAGTTACAAAATATTTAAATATTTTATTGTCTCATGTTTTTTTTCTTGTTGATAAACTTGTAGTCACTTGCATAGAATGAGGGAGTAGAGCTCTGAAATCATAAGGCTATTTTTTACCTCAAGCACCTTTTAGATGTGCAGGAAGAAAGAAAAATAATTTTAAGGATAAAATGGGGTCTTTTTGTTTTTGTTTTTTACTTTTTTTTTGTCAGTCTCAGAAGAAATTGGACTTGACTTTGCAGATTTCTCTCAGAAGCTAAAACCTGTTTATTCTTTACTGTCTGCGTGACATAGCCATTATGTTGCAGATTTGTATGTCTAGACTACATCCCTCTTTCGAAATTCTAATCCCGGCTTTATTTGCAATTTTGATATGTCTAATTTACATCCCTCTTTTGAAAGAGGGATCTAGTTTAGACGTACCCAGTATGATTACATAAAAACCCTTCCTTGAAACTTTGAAATGCGTTTCTTGAACGCATTGTTACTGACACGACAACATAGATTTATCTAACAAGTTATGTACAGTAGGAGCTAATGGCCCCAACTGAGATTGGGATGTCTCACGCTAATTCTGTAAAGGCATGGAAAAAGACAGTCCCTTCAGAGTTGACAATCTGAATAGATGAGAGGGAAAGGATTGGAGGAAAAAACATTATACTTCTGCACAAAGGGAATTCGGTTCTACAATAAAATGACTTAACTGTGATCACACAAGAAATCTGTGGCAGAGTTGTGAACTGAATCTTGTTTTGAGTCCTTTAACCCATGCTTTTAGCCATAAAACTTAACTTTCTATTCTGTTGAATTTGAAATAATAAATAGAGATTCAGGTTTGCCTAGTTTCCCTATCCTGAACTCTTTCTCTCTCTGGGTGGTGAGTGTCTTTATATATTTGTATAATCACTGCAGGGCTTTAGTCACTGCCTTTTCTCACAACCTCTGTCTAAACTGGAGCTGTGTGCCAGTTTGACACTAATATATGCAGTGCTAGAAGGAGCCACATTCTAGTACCAGATGCTGGGTGGGAAGAAAGAAAGGGCCTTGGATGAACATCACCTATTAAATGAGAGGTTAGGGTTGGGACTTCTCTTGCAGGGGAGAAGTTGCTTTACCAGCAGCTGAATTGCAGACCATTCCTGTACCCACTTCATGACTGGCAATGCAGATGACACAATAGTGACATACTGGCTTTCTTCAACAGTAGTGTCATACTGGCTTTCCTCTGCTTATACAGTTTTCCCAACTGCTTCTTTGAACACTCATGAGGAGCCTGCTTCTTTTTTAGCAGCAGTTTTAATCTTCTACATAATTCTTCTACTAAAGCACTCATCTAGACAGATTCACTTATCTGTGTTTACACGACACCTTGTAACAATACAATAGCAGGTCACTTCTCAGTAGTTTGTTTGCATACATTTCCAGATAGCTTCTTGGTCATTGAAAATCTCAGGACCAGATTCAGACCTTCCTCTACTGCATCTATAGTGAAAAAGCAATCAAATAGAGTACAGGGGAATAAATTTTTTCTGACCCACACTGAACTCTTCCAAAAGCCACATCATTTTCCACAGAAATAGTTGTAAATTGGAACACAGAGGGGCTTGGAATCAGTGCTATATCTGGATATTTTTTTTAACCCAAGTGCAGTTTATCTGGCAGATTCTCTCTTTTTATAGCAGTACAGGACCATGCAACTTGTATTTACTAATTTTATTTTTTCAAATTTGGGGTGCATGATTTAGACTTTTTTTTTTTTTTAAACTGAGAATACGATGTGGTACAAATATCAGTGCTGAGGAACTGCTGTCAAAAGAAGTAAAAATTATATGTAAATATGTAGCTTTTTAAAAAGTGTTCCTAGTTACTCTTTAATTATTTAGTACTTGTGTGTTAAAAGATTTTTTTTTTTTTATTTGTGGTTTAAGGAATATGTCCTGAATTTCAAAAGTGATACCAAAGTAAGACACATTATGTTATTATTCATGTCATGTGTTGACATCATCTTGGTTTTAAGGGTAAAATCCAAACGTGAAACTTCATTTTTCACAGGTTTGCGCTACGTTATTGTGCAAGGATGTAAGCCTGGAAATCCCTAACACTGACAGGTTAAGAAATCATGTGGATGCTCTTTGGGTGCTTATTCCTATTTTATCGCAAGAAAAGTAACTTTTCTCATGAGTGTTAGTTCAAATACACAGACTCTTCATTCTAGAATGAACTTGGATATTTGTGTAAGTAATGTAACTTCTGTTGTTTTCTTCCTATAATACAAGATGCCAATGATGGTGGACGTTCATACAAAACAGTCCTGGACCGCTGGAGAGAATCTCTTCTTTCTTCTGGCAGCCTCTCCCAAGTCTTTCTACATCTCTCCACATTGGATCGAAGCATTATCTGGTCTAAGTCCATTCTAAATGCTCGCTGTAAGATGTGCCGAAAGAAAGGTGATGCAGAAAGCATGGTGCTATGTGATGGCTGTGATCGAGGCTATCATATCTACTGTATCCGGCCCAAGCTCAAGGTGTCTAAAAGAAAAAGCTGTTGAAAATCCAGATTTCAGGTAAGGCTTAAGACATGGCACCTCACTAACGCATATTTGTATATTACTAGGCCATTCCGGAAGGAGATTGGTTTTGTCCAGAGTGCCGACCAAAACAACGTTCTAGACGCCTCTCCTCTAGGCAGAGACCATCTATGGAAAGTGATGAAGAGGCTTCAGAACAGTTTGAAGAGGAGGAGGAAGAGACTTACTATGAGGAAGCAGGACAAAGTGAGGAAGAGGACTATGAGGAGGAACAAGAGGAAGAAGATGAATCTCAAGAGGAGGAGGAACTGAGGTAAGTTGGGGCCAGAAGAACTGTTATCTTTTTAACACCGTTCTACTTGATTAAATGTGCTTAGTGCTCTGCAAGTCAGAAGTCTTTATCTCAAAGAGCTCACCAACTGAAAGAGTTGAAGCCACTTAGGTAGGTTAATAGTGAATGTGGCCATCAGCATTTGGTTTATTGGAGTTACATGCATGATCCACTCCTAGGGATGAAAATACACCCTTATTAATGTGTATGTGCTAGAAGTCACTAACTATGAGGTGTCTGCTTATTCTTAAACCACAAAGATGTACTGTAGTGGTATTCTGTGGACATGCTGTTCAGAAAATAAATCCCCAAATCTCAAAATATTTGAGATTCAAAGGAGGTGAGGATTGAATAGCTAAAAAAAACCCACAAAGCTTTTTTTCCAAAGGGCATTTTCTATGGGTGTGGAGTAGGGTCAAAAATACATGCAGTTTGAAAAATCCAGTAAATTGATACATTTTTTTTCACAAATCAAGAATGCATTTTACAGGGAGCTTGTGTCCCAGGGAACACTTCTCCATAGTTAATAGTAGATGAGTATGAATTAGAGGAGTCCTGTCCCAAAAAGTCAGGATTTGAGAGACTATACATTGCCATGGGTCTATCAACTGCCACTGATAATGTCCCTTGGACCTCCCTTCTCTAACCTTGATCTTTCCATGTGAGGGCATTTTGGCATTATTTTGCAGCCTCAAGGACTGGACAGGACTTCATTTTAGAACCTGCCATCTCTGCAACGTAAATTATATTTGTGATGAGGTTTCCTGCATATAACTAGCCATGACTCTTTACAAGGAGCTAATTTAAAGAATAGAATGCAGGGGTCTTTTCAGACAGCATATTTCTAATGTCAAGCTGTTATACCGACTAGGATTTTCAGAACTTCTTTTTACTTAATGCTGCACAAAGTATTTGATTTTAGACAACTCCACAGAGCAGTACTGTATTTAAGAGGGCTAGTTGGATGTCATCTTCAGTAAAAGACAATTTTCTATTTTATCAAACAGAAATTAGGTACTGAATGAGAAACCTTGAGGAAAAGAGGGGGTAGAAGTCTAGATAGCTAGGAGGAGTGATTTGTACAATACTGCTATGTACTTACTCTTTTGCAGCCTATCAAAACAAGGAAGACCACAAGTCAAACTTCCGTTAAAAATGAGAGCAGCTAAACTTAACAACCCCTTTTCAAGTCAGAGCAGCCAGCGTCAGACCAGTGGAAGATACGCTTCTCGGAGTCAGCATAATACACCTAAGCAAAATGAGTCTTCGTCTAAAGTTACTGGAAGGGGAATAAGAAAGATAAAGTCAGCCCCTCCATCAGTAACAAAACCTTCTTTAAGACTGAACAGCCGTACTACTCGTCAGAGTCAAGCCTCGTTACAAGCAGATGTATTTGTGGAATTACTCAGTCCTCGACGACGGCGTAGAGGAAAGAATACTACTGATAGTACACCAGAAAACAGTCCTTCTCTTGGCTTTAGAATTGTTGCTACCACAGACTCACGTGAACGGGTTAGAAGATCTCCATTTTCTACGCAGAAGTTTTCTCTTCAGGATAATGAATCTAAAAGAAGAGGCAGGAAACGACAATCCACAGGTTAGAAAAGCTTTCCTAGGACAAAGTTAAAGCTACTTCCTTGCTAAAACATTTGGATGGTGGAGAGGGGAAAGATTAGGGCATTAAGGTACTTGTCGACAAGTGGCTATATGGAAAACAATTACGATCTACAGCAAGATAGTTCCATTGAAAATTAATCTGTTGCCACATCAAGTTCCTCCCACTAATCCTTGCATACTTTGAATTAAACTATCAAAATGAGTGATCAGAGCCACAATACAAGTGCTAATTTAGTGTGTTCACATAATGGGGGGGGAGGCTTTCTAGTTAGTAAACTATAAATCTGAAAGTAATCATAGACTTCTCATGTGTGTATTCCATACATAGTTACAAAAAAGGAAGTGTTTAAATCTTTATTATTAAGATTTGCTGGGGATGTTAGATAATCTGCAATTGAATAGTCTTGTAACCTCATCAGATTTTAGTGGTTATAAGGTTATTCAATAGTCTCCGGAGGTAGAGCCAGCAGCTAGTGCACTCTTGGCCCCACTCCCAGGGAGCCCCTACCACCCCATGCTGCTGCCTCTCTATCAGAAGGGGGGGCAGGCGAGTGTTGGGGAGGCTGCCATGAAGCAGCCTCTATCCATGGCAGGTCTGAGCTCTCAAAGCCTCCATTACCATCTCTCCCCTGCCCTGCTGCCTCTGATAAAGTCTGCAGCGGCTCCCCCCAGCACTGGCTCCTGCCTTCTGCCCATTCACCGGCAAGAGAGGCAGTGGGGAGGGGGAGGGGAGGAGACAGGGGGAGGCAGGTCTGCGGAGCCAGCATGTGCAGAGAGCCAACTTAAAAGCTACTTCCTGCATGTATCAGTTCCCACCTGCCCCCCTCACTCACCATGCTGCTGCCTCTCTATCAAGGGGAAGCAGGCAGATCTGGTGCCCTTGGGGAGCTGGCTTAAAGCTGACACAGAGGTAGCAAGGGGATGGGGGGGGATCAGGCTTATCAGTTAATTGTGTAGTCATCTACACATTGACATCCCCAGGATTTGCTTTATTAATGAGCTAAACCAGGGGTGTCCAAACTTTTTTTAAAGAGGGCCAGATTTGATGAAGTGAACATGCGTGAGGGCCGACCATTTTGCCTGACATTCTTTGAACCATTAAAATTAAATGCAAATTAACTATTTTATGCAAAGTTTATTGCAAACAGCATACTTTTCATTTCGTCACATGGATGACAAATCTAAACAGGTGTTAAATCACTCTGCCTTTCATATCTGAAGGCCAGATGAAAAAAAATCCAGGAAGCTGAAATATATGTCAGGAACATTGTAAAGTACATTACATATTATTGGTAATAAAGGTTGTCTGTCAACTTTTAAGTTCAAAAAATATGAACAGGAACATAACACCAAGTATACATGTTGTGTCCAAATATATTTATAACTGATTTAGACCAACTGACATTAACTGAGATTTTACAATGTATTCATCTCAATACATATGGATTCATTGGGGGCCATAAAAGATAGATATTGCCAAATTACCTGCGGGGCCGTATTAAACCGGAACACGGGCCGCAATTGGCCCGCGGGCTGGACTTTGGACATGCCTGAGCTAAACAGTAGAGGACAGAAATAGTGGGAAAATAAAGTTCGGAATATGGGTAACAAATAAAGAAATTCAGCCTAGAAAAATGTAAGATAGTATTTGGAGATATAATCCAAAACTCTGTGAGACAATATTTGGAAAGCCACAGTGCCACAAAATACCTAATATGTCACAGAACACTGCACATTAGCAAAAGAGTACTGCAGTGTGAGATTAAAAAATGATAATCTGTTGTGTTGCATTTTGTACCATTTCAAATCACCATCGTTAGGCATCTCTGCTTATCCTGTAGCTAACAGTTGCCAATACTCTTGCAAGTCTTTCCTGATCAGCAAGAGTAAGTGTTCTCTGAATTAGTTTTATTTGTAGGATGGAAAAAATGGTAGCTCACAAAGTAAGACAGAACTCTGCTGTAGTCGTACATTGAGCTGTTGTTTGGGTTTTTTAAGACTATTTTCTTATACACACATTTTAAAAGGTATATTTTATACAGGTCTTGCTAGATTCCTCTTTTATCCTAAAAGTGGTCTTCATTAGGTCACTGTACTGAGTTCGTACTGTACTTCAACAAGGCTGTACCACAGTTCAGATACATGGCCTGGATATACAGATGGGATTGAACCAAACTGTGTGAATTCTGTTTTGGGGCTACTGTATTGAAACTGGGTGTCCCAAAATGAAAGCTGGTGATCATGTTGCCAGGTATGACCTTGTGCAAATCAACAGTGATTACAACTCTGGGAATGAGGGTGAAAGTGGTATTCTCATCAGTCCTGCTGCTTCAGTATAGAGTTTTGGGCAGGGATGAATGGATCCTGGAGAAATCTTGGTGCACAGATTGTGTTGACAGGAGGATTTTGGCTTCTTTGACCATGGTGGAATGCTGTTAAGGTCCATTGCAGTCTAGGGATATAAAACTAGTGACTCAACAAATTGCTCCCCTCCACCACCCTGCTGCCTATATCATGGAAAGGCAGCAAGGGCGGGAAGCAGAAGCCAGTGCTGGGGGGAGATTACTTAAAAGCAAGCCTGGCTCAGTCCCAGCTCACATTGGGTCCAGGAGCTACCCGCATTGCGACTGCAGTTTAAATGTAGTAGGAGCTGGACTGCTTGTGTGCCCAGCTCTTACTACAGTTAAACTGCAGAGCTGCAGCGGGGGTAGCTCCTGAGCACCTTCCCTTATCAACTAATCATGTAGTCAGTACCAATTGGGTAGTTGACACAGTTACCTGCCTCTTAACATCCTTATTGCGGTCTTCCTTCCCCAGTTTCTTCATCTGCTGAAGAAGGGGAAAAGCATCTTGACATGCTTACTCACTTCAGCTATGTCTAGACTACATTACTCTTTCAAAAGAGGAATGTAAATAAGGCAAATCGAAAGTGCAAATGAAGCACAGATTTAAATATCCCACACTTCATTTACATATTTGCGTACAAGTCCTTTTTTTTGAAAAAGGGGTTTTTTGAAAGTGAAAGCGCAGTCCAGGCGTGGTTCTTTGAAAGGGGGGGGAACCTTGAAAGCGCAGTCCAGGCGTGGTTCTTTGTGGTTCTTTGGGGGGGAGGGGGAACCTTTTTCGAAAACCCATACTCTTCATTTTTTCAGGAATACAGGTTCTTTCGAAAAAGCTTTTTTTTTTTCTTTTTTTCCCCAAAAGAACCGTGCCTAGACTGCGCTTACACTTTCGAAAAACCCTTTTTCAAAAAAGCGCTCAGACACGAATATGCAAACAAAGTACGGGATATTTAAATCCGTGCTTCATTTGCACTTTTGATTTGCCTTATTTACATTCCTCTTTTGAAAGAGGAATGTAGTTTAGACGTGCCCTTCCATAGTAAACAGGCTTTAAACTTGGTTTCAAAGGAGGCAGAGTGATGCAACCCCATAGGTAAGTATGAAAGGTGACCTTGACAGATGGTGGAAGTTGGGAGTGTGGATGGAAAATTGTAATAGATTCATGGCCTCAATAAGAGGGAAAATAGAGGAGGAGGTTTGACATTATGTATGTATGTATGTATGTATACAAAAATAAGTATGGAGAATATAGAAAGAACTGAAAGCTTCATACATAAACAAAATCATAATGTAACCTGCATTACAGAGACTTGATGAGATAAATCTCATGACTGGAGTACTGATGTAAAGTAGAGGTTCTCAAACTGGAGGGTGAAATATATTCTGTGGGTGCACGAGAAGCTTTAGTAGGAAGAAATTACTGTGCAATACCCATTTTACCCAAATGAATAAATAATGAACAAAGCTGATTCCTCCAGACATATCGGGTCCTCAGATGGCACTGCATTTGACTCCAGATCAGTGATCCTCAAACTTTTCAGGGCCACGTCCCTTTTCTCCTAGGACTGAGAAAGGAGCCGCAGTCCAGAGTCACTGCTGGGCCACAGTTAGGGGCCAAGGCTGGAAGCAGAGCGTGGTGTGGGGCCACAACTGGGGGAAGAGCTGAAGCAGAGCTGAGAGTGGAGCAGGACTGGCCTGCTCTTCTCTCTCTGCCCTTCTCTCTCTTCTCTTCGCATGAGTTGTCTATCTGGTTCCTGAAGGGTTTCAGAAGGCTATTTCCACTCATGAAGGATCTTGTCCCTCAATGGGACCTTTATTCTGGTCCTCTTTAAACTCACAGGTCTCCCCTTTGAGCCCTTGGGCCTCTTGTCCCTTTTTCCACATATTGTGGAAGGTAATCTTCCTGGTGGCAGTTATGTCAGCCAGGTGAGTGTCAGAAATTAAGGCCCTGATCTCAGAACCTCCATCAAGCCTTTCTACTTAAGGTGGTCTCTTCCTTCCACATCACATCTTCCTCCTAAGCCATACAAGACCAGAGAGGAGAGGCAGTTACACATCTTAGACACTTGTCCCTTTTTCCACATATTGTGGAAGGTAATCTTCCTGGTGGCAGTTATGTCAGCCAGGTGAGTGTCAGAAATTAAGGCCCTGATCTCAGAACCTCCATCAAGCCTTTCTACTTAAGGTGGTCTCTTCCTTCCACATCACATCTTCCTCCTAAGCCATACAAGACCAGAGAGGAGAGGCAGTTACACATCTTAGACATCCACTGACTAAATCTTTTTGTAGGTCTATCCAGCTCTTCATTAGCAGATTGAATGAAGGGCCTGCTGGTCTCCACTCAGAGGATCTCCAATTGAATTACATCCTGCATCCAGTCCTGTTATGAGTTAGCATGCTTTCGTCACCACCTCTGCGTGCAACCTCAGTGGCCTTCCTGGCCCATGTGCCAATCCAGGACATTTGTGGAGTCATGACATAGTCTAGTTCATATATTCACAGAGCATTATGTCATCACTCAGCAAGCCAGAGTTGATGCTGGTTTCAGCAGAACTGTTGCACAAGCTTCATGTGCATGAACTCCTACATGTAGTGCTTGGGAGTCAATAACATGGAATGGACAGTAGCAAGAACTCAA